AGCTATCCGGACAGTTTGGGTCCAAGCTGCTTTTTTTAATAAGTGGGACCACTGTGCTTCGCCGGAAGCTGTACGGTACTCGCATCTCGGCCAGGCTGGCAGATAAGAGGAGAGCGATTATGTCCAGAAGCGTTGGTGAAGAGCCATGGATAAGATGGTCGGCGGTGACACCGTCAGGGCCGGGAGCTGCATTCCTGTTTAGCTCCGTTATAAGGCCCGCTACTTCACGGGCACTTATGATCCTACTGGGACCCGGTGCTTCAAGCGCAGATGTCCTATATGCGTCTACTAACTTATGAACGGTCTCGTGCTCAGCTGCAAGCCCCTCAGAGTCACCGTCCCTGTGCGTGAGGCTGAAGTGGTCAGCAAGATCATCAGCCGAGAGTGTCGCACGAGGGGTAGCTGAGCCTCTCCGCGCTCTCTCAACCTGCCGCCAAAACTGTTTTACGTTACCGTCACGGCGAAACGCTGCCATCAGACGAGCGCTGTCGTCCACCTTGGCTCGTGCGGCTGCGACACGAGCTCGTCGATAATCTCGCCGTGCAGCACGAAAACAGCTGTGAAGCACCGTCAGCTGTGGACGATCTGATTCTACCCACAATCGGTGCCAAAACCGAGCGCGATCACGGGCTGCAGAGACAGCCGGAGTCCACCAAGACTTTGGCGGTTTCCAGCGGCGAGAACAGCCGGACTCGGACGCAGCTCGATGAATAGATGCCGTCAGGTGGCTGTCCAGCTGCTCGACATCCAAGTCTTCCGGATTGCGCAAAACCAGAAGCTGGGCTAGACGTCTACGGTATTCATCGTTCCGAACATCACAGCTCCAGTTTAACACCGTGCGAGCCGGTGAAAATGCACTCCCCGCCGCCTTCTGGCACCGCCTTACTGTGAGGGATAGTGTGCAAATCAGAGGTAAATGTGGGCTCAAGTTACCGATACATGGCTGAATGATGTGGCAAGACTGCAACTGACTAAAAATGAAGTCATGTGGTACTAAGATGTGATCAATGTGTGTCGAATAGCCACCGCGCTCATACGTATAGTCTAGTGACTGACTAAATCTGAACTCCGCCGTTACTAAGTCATGTGCGTCCAGAAGTCGCTGTAACTCGCGGCTAAATGCGTTAAAGCCATGGAGTCTTGCCCATTGAGCTGGACGCTGAGCGAGTGGGAGTCGTGGGAGAGCACAGTTAAAATCTCCGAGTAGCATAATTGGCGCTGCAGGTCTGATTTCACACATCATGGAGTCCAAGCTCGCGCACGTATCTCTATACAGTTCTTACTGCTCAAAAGTGCCACTAAAGTACGGCATGTAGCAGCCTATAACATTGAGCACTGGCAGCCCACCGCTGCTTATTTGGAGCCCCAAAAGACGAGACGACTCGCACTCAATCTGAGCAAACGTAAAAGAGTCATCACACCTGCATATCATGGCTGTCCCGTCGCGCCGGCGCCCTTCTCCAGCGCCTGGAGGTGTCTCCATCGCAAACGATTGAAATATTTGTACATTATCAACATCGTAGCAGTTAAGGGCATCCCCCAGGAGGTCTGCTTCGGCACAGGATACCCATGTCTCGGAGAGAAACAATACATCTAAGTACTCAAACAGGACGGCAATGTAAGCGGCGGCGCTTAATGCTCCCTCGCAGTTATAGCAGCCGACGCGAAACAAGCGATCATTCAGGGAGGTCGTATCAGCCTCTCCAGATGGGCAGTTACTGGCCCCACCAGGATCCACTACCGTTTGGGACAGGGACGCTGCCGAATGATGGGGCGCTGGTTGTGAAATGCTATGGTTGTGAAATGGGCGCTATAAAACTGCTATCTTGGATTTTCAAAACTTTTTGGATTTTGACCCCTGAAAATTAAAAAGCATTTTATTACGGAGCGAGCGAAGCGAGCGTAGTCTTTCCTTAGATTAACGGAAATTTCTGAGTATGAGCGGCCGGCCGGCCGGCCGTGGTCACGCTTTTGCGAGGCTTATATCTCAGCAACCACTTGACCGATTTACATGCGGTAAATTTTGTAGGGTAGCTTCATTCCTTCTACTAAGTATTGGACTATTCCCGATGCATGTGGGTGACTCCTTATGCACGTGCCACGTGCAAAACGAAGAGGTGTCAGTTTTGTAATTGTTGCAATATCTCGGTAACTACTTGGCCGATCGCGCTGAAAGTTGGCATGTAGGTAGGCACCCACTAGGCACTGCATATCCATGTGCCAGAGTTGGGGTGCTGCTGCACGTGCGCACGTGCAGGGGTCGTTTCCAGATCTCGAGAACGGCTCGACCGATTGCGCTCAAATTTGGTACACAGTTAGGGACCGGTTAGTAGGGTGCCGTGCACAAGTCAGTTGGGACCCATTTTGCACGTGCGCACGTGCAGGGTGCCGCTTCCAGATCTCGATAACGGCTGGGCCGATTGTGCCCAAATTTGGCACATCGCTAGAGACCGGTTAGTAGGGTGCCGTGCACAAGTCAGTTGGAGGTACCCCCTCGCAATTTCGCACGTGCAAGGCCCACCCTCTCGCTCGCTCCGTTAGTCGCCCCAAAAGGCGTTATACTGGTATAATAACCAAAAATTCGCAAGTTTTTCGGAAAAAAAAACAAAATTTATACGATAGTCACTATCGTTTTCTATCCACACACTAAATTTGAGATCAATACCTCTTTTATTGCCAAGTTAGTGTCCCAAAATCTTATTACGGAGTGAGCGAAGCGAGCGTAGTCTTTCCTTAGATTAACGGAAATTTCCGAGTATGAGCGGCCGGCCGGCCGTGGTCACGCTTTTGCGAGGCTTATATCTCAGCAACCACTTGACCGATTTACACGCGGTAATTTTTGTAGGGTAGCTTCATTCCTTCTACCAAGTATTGGACTATTCCCGATGCATGTGGGTGACCCCTTATGCACGTGCCACGTGCAAAACGAAGAGGTGTCAGTTTTGTAATTGTTGCAATATCTCGGTAACTACTTGGCCGATTGCGCTGAAAGTTGGCATGTAGGTAGGCACCCACTAGGCACTGCATATACATGTGCCAGAGTTGGGGTGCTGCTGCACGTGCGCACGTGCAGGGGTCGTTTCCAGATCTCGAGAACGGCTCGACCGATTGCGCTCAAATTTAGTACACAGTTAGGGACCGGTTAGTAGGGTGCCGTGCACAAGTTAGTTGGGACCCATTTTGCACGTGCGCACGTGCAGGGTGCCGCTTCCAGATCTCGAGAACGGCTGGGCCGATTGTGCCCAAATTTGGCACGTCGCTAGAGACCAGTTAGTAGGGTGCCGTGCACAAGTCAGTTGGAGGTACCCCCTCGCAATTTCGCACGTGCAAGGCCCACCCTCTCGCTCGCTCCGTTAGTCGCCCCAAAAGGCGTTATACTGGTTATGGAGCGAGCGAAGCGAGCGTAGTCTTTTCTTAGATTAACGGAAATTTCTGAGTATGAGCGGCTGCCGGCCGTGGTCACGCTTTTGCGAGGCTTATATCTCAGCAACCACTGGACCGATTTACATGCGGTAATTTCTTAGGGTAGCTTCATTCCTTCTACCAAGTATTGCACTATTCCCGATGCATGTGGGTGACCCCTTATGCACGTGCCACGTGCAAAACGAAGAGGTATCACTTTTGTAATTGTTGCAATATCTCGGTAACTACTGGGCCGATTGCGCTGAAAGTTGGCATGTAGGTAGGCACCCACTAGGCAATGCATACCCATGTGCCAGAGTTGGGGTGCTGCTGCACGCGCGCACGTGCAGGGGTCGTTTCCAGATCTCGAGAACGGCTCGACCGATTGCGCTCAAATTTGGTACACAGTTAGGGACCGGTTAGTAGGGTGCCGTGCACAAGTCAGTTGGGACCCATTTTGCACGTGCGCACGTGCAGGGTGCCGCTTCCAGATCTCGAGAACGGTTGGGCCGATTGTGCTCAAATTTGGCACATCGCTAGAGACCGGTTAGTAGGGTGCCGTGAACAAGTCAGTAACTTGGAGGTACCCCTTGCAATTTCGCACGTGCAAGGCCCACCCTCTCGCTCGCTCCGTTAGTCGCCCCTCAAGGCGTTATACTGGTTTTTGCTTGGGTGTCAGAGGGGGAAATTGCTGACCAAAATAAGGATGAGAGTGAAAAATTGTCGGTCAGGTAACGCCCAAAAAGAGTGGGAAATGATCAAAAACATGAATCTATCTACAATTGTGACAGATGCAAACAACCAGTCACGCAATTACTCCTTCTCGGTGGACTTGGGAGTGGAAAATTGGGCTTGAAAACTGGAGGTGAGAGTGGAAAATGATTTCCATGTTATAGCGAAATAACTGTTCAAAATTGACGTCAAATTTTCAAACTCATTTTTTTCAATTCTAGACCACGTAGCGCAAAACAAGGACCGTCACACTTCCCGTGACGAGCTGCATCGAATCGATACCCATTTTATGCAAAAATATCAACTTTGAACTTTGAACTAATTTGACCTGACCTTGACTCGACCTTCACCAGAACATAACCTAAACTGGCCCCAAAGGTCGCCTGAGCCACATAATCGCATTTATAATGTAAAATGGACCATTAAACATGTGTCACACGACACTTTCATATTGTGACCCTCAATGACCTGACCTCTGTGACCTGACCTGGTATCAGTGACTTGAAATGGCAAAATATGTGTTTCACGAACAAGTCCCCATCGATGATTTTCGGTTAACATTCCTTTTACTCGATTTTACAACACATTTGTTGGAGTACTTGTAAACGGTGAAAATGCGACCTTTGACCTGACCTGTGACGTCATCAGTTTGACCGAGGTCAATGAAAGCGGGTCACAAGGTAGTTCCCCGGTAGGGCTATCGAACACCGTTTGAATTTTGAGGATCGGCCGGTAACTTTCCGAGATATTACGGGGGGGGGGGGCGAAACGGCCCCCACCCTACGGGTAGTAGGGTCCGCCGATAGCCCTACGGGGCGCGGGTTAAGAAATACAAATCGCTCCTTTTACGATGGACTATAACATACCTAAAGTAAACGAGACCCTTGTGCTGGAAGGCAGTTAGATTTTGTTCTTCCTCAGAGCGGGCACAGTTGACTCTTCTCAGCCAGTTGCTGCAGCTGGAGTCCTCGGCGTTGACTGAGTGATGCACGCTGGTACCTTTCATGATCTGTGAAACACGGCGCCGCAATGAGAATAGAAAAATAAATGTAAATACACAACACATGACCTCGCCAAGATAATAACGGCAGATGGGGGGATTTTTAAGTTAACTTCCAGTGAATACCGCATTATATCGGCAGAGTTCCGGAAAACAAGCGCCCACAAAGCGCTTCTTTAGCACTATAGCGCTATATAGCCGGGCCGGGGTACCAATATTTTCCGATATGTGGTATGACAGTTTGACGTTTGTGAAAAGCGATAATGTGAACACATATATTGCACAAACCGGTTTCGATATTACTTCATCAGTGTGCAACTATATAAATAAAACACAAAATACAAAACGGAGATGAAATAGGTACAGCAGAACCATTGGCCTATAATAAGTAGTACTTATCTTATTATTATTGGTCAATGAGCAGAACAAATTATTTTCAAATACTTTCATATGACCTCATGTGATTGAGATCCCAAGACGCTTCCGCACCAAAAGAACGGCTAAACTTTTTCCCAATCGTATGTCACCAGCTTTGGAATTTACACACAAACAGGATGAGGTCATATGAAAGTATTTGAAAATAATTTGTTCTGCTGTACCTATTTCGTCTCCGTTTTGTATTTTGTGTTTTATTTATATAGTTGCACACTGATGAAGTAATATCGAAACCAGTTTGTGCAATAGATGTGTTCACATTATCGCTTTTCATTTTCCGATGTACTGCTGAGACCGCCCTCTGCTTCGCGTTGTCCACCATCCATACCAAAACTGACCTCCCAACTGTATCCCGTGGTTTTGGCCTGACGCTGGCCGGTGGTGATCGTGCCATCGTAGGGACCGAATCGTACTCGAGCCGGAACGTCCCTTTCAGTCCATACTCCTGAAATTAGATGAATGCACTTCTTAGACGTCGATGATAATAAGAATATAGCCTATATATATATATATATATATATATATATATATATATATATATATATATATATATATATATATATATATATATATATATATATATATATATATATATATATATATATATATATATATATATATATATATATATATATATATATATATATATATATATATATATATATATATATATATATATATATATATATATATATATATATATATATATATATATATATATATATATATATATATATATATATATATATATATATATATATATATATATATATATATATATATATATATATATATATATATATATATATATATATATATATATATATATATATATATATATATATATATATATATATATATATATATATATATATATACATGTGTGTGTGTTGCAGCCACTTTAGAAAATCAGTCATTTTGTAAAATGCCTAGGCATTTTACAAAAACACGGCTGTTTGAAAAATGACTGAACACAACCAGGCTTTTTTCAAAATGGCTAGCCATTTTACAAAATGACTATACTCTGTTCCGTTTCAAGTTTACAGCCGAAGTGCCCTGCTGAAAACAGTGCGTGATTTCTGTATATACAGCTCTTACATTTTAAGACGCAAATTCTTGAGCGGAGGAGCGATCTGCCGAAGAAACTCCAACTGCAAGCTTGATATGGAACAGACTATAGGCATTTTGCAAAATGCCTGACCAGCATGGAACGTACATCCCACTATGCAGATACTATGGCCAACAGTTTTTGGACGTCTTCCATACCCTATAGGTACGTGTTCAGCCTGTAGCTGATCGGATGACGACAATGCTGAGTAACGACCAGGTTGAGTTGCAGACTCGGCTGTAGCATAAAGCATTGTTTAGTTAACGCTGTAAAACTCCCAAGTACATCAACGCCGTTCATGTTCTGCCTGAAACTAGACCTAACAAAACTAGCCGGAGACCGGCCCTAGTCAATAGGCAGGCCCGGTTGCTGTACAATTACATGTAAACGAATGGGTGTAGTCTTTGTTTGATTGTGTCTATGTTTGACAGCTTTGAGTACAGCTTTGAGTGGTCCCAGTTAAAGATATCAAGCTCCACATCGGGAGAATCATCAGGTCGCTTGGCGTAGGACGAGAGCGTTGGTTTCAGAAGACACTAACGCCTAAGTGTGTGGGATCGAATCCTCGCGACCTCTAATGGTTTTACAGATACAGGCCGGCATAGGGCCAGTCGTTTGTTGACGCTCCAGATTGATCATTTTAAATCCAGCAGCGTCGCTGACGTGGGGGTTGGAAATGTCGCGGGCCTGCACTTCTCAAAATAGAGAGAGGTAGGTATGGACTTCCCACTGCTGGACTCCTCTGGTCATATTGCTGGACTCCTCAGTCCACCTACACGCTACCAAAACGTATATAATTAGGTACTCGTATATACAACACGCTGCTCAGTCATTTTGTAAAATGGCTAGGTATTTTGTAAAATGGCTAGGTATTTTGTAAAATGCCTAGGCATTTTGCAAAATGACTGGAGAGTCAGTCATTTTGTAAAATGCCTAGGTTTTTTGCAAAGAGCCTGGAAAATCAGGCATTTTGCAAAATGCCTAGGCATTTTACAAAATGACTTATTTTCTAAAGTGCCTGCAACATATACAAGCCAATAAGAATACCATGAATTGGCATTACGTACATGTAAAATAGTCATTTCAAATATTACTTCGCCCGAGAATTGTCAGATAAGGCATGGAAAATATGAATTAAATGTTAATTAGTTAAAATATTTATCCAAGCTACATTGTGATTTGATGCAACACCAGATACTCAAAAGCTGGTTGTTACGAGCGAGCGAGCGCAGCGAGTGAAGTGAGTCTTTTCAATATAACGGGAAAATCTCAGTATGAGCGGCGCGGCCCGGCCCGGCCTGTAACGCTTTTGAGAGGCTTATATCTCAGCAACCGCAAGACCGATTGGCCTGCGGTCTTTTTTGTTGGGTAGCCCCATCCCTTCTACCCCGTAATTGACTACTTTTGATACATCTCAGTGACCGTCGTGGCATGGAGCAGTGACCGTGGAGAGCGGTTAGTAGGGTGCCGTGCAAAAGTCATTTTGGACCCCGTTTGCACGTGCGCACGTGCAGAATGCCGCTTCCAGATCTCAGGAACGGCTGGGCCGATTGCGTTCAAATTTGGCACACCGCTAGCGACCGGTTAGAAGGGTGCTTTGCACAAGCCCGTTGGAAGCACCCTCTCGCCCTTCCGCACGTGCAGGGCTCACTATCTCGCTCGCTCGTTCTTCGCCCAAAAGGCGTTTTACTGGTTTATGTCAACATAGTTTACCGGTGTTAGATCCGGGAATTCTTGACAAACCCGAGCTGAGAGATTGAGGTATAGTCTTGAGGTCCCTTTCAGGATCACCAATACCCGGTCGTGCCTGGAATAGAAGAGTGTTCACTGTTTAGTCAGTCATGGAACTTTCAAGACTGCGCCGATGTCTTGAAAGACAGCGATGCGCGATACTTTCAAGTTGAAAGTAGGTACCGCGTATCGGTGCTGTGGATCCATCAAGCCTGACTCAGGATGGGCTGCTAAATTTGATATCACTGTACCATGACTGTACCATCTGATATCCTCATCCATCCCCAGGTCAATTGGTCCCGTGGCTCTCGAATTAAGCAGCCCTTCCTCAGTCGGGCTTGATGGATCCACCGCAGGGGCGGATCTAGGGGAGGGGCTTTTGGGGGCTTTTAAGTCCCTAGCCAAAGAAAGAATGCCTCCCCTGGGCGCCTTGGCGCCTATCTCACAGCAGTCTCAAATCAGGAAAAGATGGAGAGAACAATCGCTCGTGGAAACCGGCACGCGTGGCCGATTGGCGAAAGATATAATATAAGAAAAAAAGCACGAAGGCTCTAAAATTCTCCGCTCCATATACCTATATAGTACACTACCATTTATATACTCAAGAGTAACACATAAATCATACCAAATAAACTACAGTTACTAGGGCCGTTACCTAACCGGCCCCAGTAAGACATTCGCTGACAAAATACTGAAGACGAACTGCTGCTTTCATGAAGCACTAAAACTAATAACATGTCGGTAAAAATGTAATGTGATAATCGCAATGCGCGGCATCTCTTTTCCAACATGCTTAACCCTCGCCCGTATTGGTGTTTTGCCAGCCGTCAAAGTATAAGTGGGATGGGGGTCCGTTGTACCTACCCCCCCGCCGTTTCGCCCCTTATCGAGCTGGAGCTTCGCGAGAAAAAAAACGAGCGTGCTGCCCGTGACGAGAGGAAGCCAATGATACCCGATTTTAAGGTTCTAGGTCATTGGTTGACCTTCATGGTCAGGTCAATGACCCAAAAGTACGGAAAATCGGAACCTGTTAGAACGTCGTTAAGTGGGCTGTAGTGGTTTTTCGGGGTGCTGATCACGAATATCATGTAAGTTTTGATCAAAGATGACGTCTTGGTGCATTTAGGCCAGGTCGGGTCAGGTCATGTCAACTAGTAGGGGTCCTGCCGCGTATTCGTGGTAGTGTCAACCACCTCTGACAGCTTCGTAACATGTTACGAAGGTACACCAACTACTTCGGACATGTTCAGATGGTTGCTTAATTCGAATTTAGCTTCAAACACTAGCCTAGAAACATGTAAAACTCGAAAAAGTGAGCCAAGGTCACCTAAGGTCAATGACCGGACCTGACCTTCAGGTGACCTTGACACCCACCCTAATGCATGGGACCAACATCATTCATATCACATGTTTGAACGCTTGTAACCCCGAAAACACTACAAACGCGCGGCTAATGCGAGCCGACATACGCCGAATCGCGATTCCAGCCAAACATGGTCTTGAGAAATAGGTCACAGGTCAAAGTCATTTGGGTCCGGGGGTCATGAAATTTTCAGAGTAGGTGTAAAATTGATCATCTCGAGGGTACTGAAAGTTTTGTCGCAATCGGCCTCTTTTTACGCCAGTTATTCGCGAAAAACCGAGGGGGAGGTCCGTTCGCCTCCACCCCCCGTTCTCCTTATACGGGCAAGGGTTAACACACGCAAAAATGCAAAAAAAAAATAAGTTGACTGACCCTTACCTTGGTATCTGGTATGACCTTCAGCGGTCCATGGACCGGACAGTCTCCTTCCCACTCACGGCAGCACACTTCACAAACTGTCGGAAGACAAAACAACGGTTCTTCATAAACATCTACAACTGGTCGTGTATGTTTTAATTGCATCACTTCTATGGATCTGGTGAATTGAAACTGTGACACGTCTACATAAAAAATGACTCCGTTTTCCCCGGTAGGGTTGCCAAACGTCGTTCGGGGAGCACTGCCGCTCTTATGCCGATTTGACCCAGTTTACCTTTGAGAAGGTGGTAGGAAACTCAATGAATTAACCTAGAGGCTTAAGAATCTCTAGGCGTGAAAATAATCTTGAGGAAAGGACCATTAGGAATAAAGAAAAGCAAAACTTGACAGAACGAGCATCGATTAATTATTTCTTTTTGGAGGGAGAGTAAATAGTCAAAATGTAAGTCCTTACCGGCGAAACTATTGCCGTTTTAACACTTTCAAAATGCCTGGCAATGCCAAAACAGGCGGCAATTTGAGAACTCGAAGAAACTTTAAATAGGTTACTGCGACGCTATAATGTCTTTTTCTGAAGTAACGTCGATAACAGAATGACTGTAACACGAACAAGCGATTATTATATCGAAGGTGCAAGAATAAAACATATCCTATTGGATGCGAAATGATACTTACATATGTTATCATCATCAAGACCGTCCACTTGTCGGTAGTTTATAGCGAGGCTCTGACCTCTGCCAAAACCTCCTTCGGAAAATACTGTGGAAAGAATTGATATGCACTTAAAAAGGTGAGTAAACCACGAAAGTAACATTCACCCGTCACCTGTTCATGTTGCGACACACTGTTACGAGCTGTAAGTGTAAATTATATAAGTTATAGGTGATGCTAAAAAATAAACAAAGAATATGTTACACTCAAAGGCATTTACTCTGGAGGTCCTGAGCCAGGTCAGCACAAGTCGTCTAAGTGTGTCCGGTTTGAGGACACGCTAAGCACAGACGACTCCGACCGACCTACGCGGCAGCAGCGATCTTATGCCAGACCATAGACCTCTGCATGTCTCTGTAAATGGTTCACAGAGGTCTATGGCCATGCGGATCAAATCCGAGCGCCTGGCGCGCGGAGGTCAGTCAGGAGACAACAAGTGATTAAAGGGACATGTTCATTAGGGTGTGTCGACAGAGGGGTTTTTCTCACAGATTCGCGTTAGACAAAGATATAAATTGGCGGGAGCATGCCAAAACACTAGCCCTGCAGTTGGTTTTGCGTAAAAATGCGATTTGACGAGGCTCGGGCAGGTCGAAGTTACAGCGAAAAAGTCGCAGTCGACGGTGCTGCCACCTACATTGCCAATAACGGGCACTATCATATCGTTATAATTGGGGTAGTTTCAAATGAGAAATGACTTCTATTTTTGTTCAAACTGCTTAAGAAGAAATAAAACAATTCGGAAACATACATTTTTCCCAAATATCGCGTTCCATTTTTTCCTGTTGAGTTGTTAGGAAAGTGGTAAATTTCAAGGTTGACGGCTAAAAAACGAAACAGGAGGAACAGAGCAGGAATCACCAAGACGTGCGCCGCGCCGATGCTGTAGCCTGTAGATAAGGGGTGAGCAACAGAACCAGCATACCTAACGATTTTGATTAGTGATAGATATTTTTCTCTAAATGAAAGACTATTAGTAACTCAGGCAAGCCTTCTAATATAGGTATCGACAGGGTTGCGGCTAAAGGTACAATCGATGGCACATTACAATTATTCTGAGTTGGGAAACAACACTCTTCAGATACCTACCATCAACAACCTCACTATCTCCTATATGGGAGCTATTTCATCTGAATCCAGCGCCCTGAAAACAAACAGGTTATCATCAAAAATCTCTGTATTAGCGCCTACCGACATATGCTGAATGACGCTATCAATACCCAACATTTGTAAAAGGTGATTCGCCACACAGCCCGCCGGCGTCGGAGGGGTTGAATCAGTGAGCCAGATTGCCAGCGACTCACCGCTGAACTACCGGGCGTAACAAAACGGACGATGCGACATGACTCAGAGATCATCACAGACGCGACGGTAAGCCGCCAACAGCTCCTCTGATGTACCTATGCTTTAAAAATGTTGGCCAAAATTTAAGATCTATGTTATCTAGTGCTAATATTTGGGTTTTCGGTTTTTCTAATCCCCTCTATTTCACGGATTGCTTGAAAAAAAGCTAGAGGGTTTCTTTTTACCGATGTCAAGTGGTTTTAGTTCAAAAGATTGGTGGTGCTGCTACTGGCAACAGTATTGGCGCAATATAACCGTTCTTTAGTCACCATGTCAATAATATTGACACAATCAATGACCACCGACTCTCACTGAATGTGTCTTCCTGTGTTCCGCAGGAAGCTGAGCTGTGACTGACTGGCCATTGCGTGTCATCAGTTCGGCCAGTAGCGGCGGAATACCTTCAATTAAGGGGGGGGGGGGCACTGCCGACTTTTGGTCCCATTCATTCCATGCAACGCCCATAGGGCTAATGTTAAAATGCCAAAATCAAAGGGGGCACGGTGCCGCGGTGCCCTCCCCGTTCCGCCGCCTATGAGTTCGGCTTGACAAGGGAACCGCGAGGTGGCAGATAGCGATATTACGTATCTGAACGAGGGTTCCGCACGAGCTCAGATGGGGCGGGGTGGGGCACGACACCTGGCGGGCTGCTGGGATCGTGCTGCCGATCGAGCCCCTGCTGCCCGCCCGCGCGCCGCCGTGGGAGGTGGCCGCCTGCCCACACGTCACATTCTCCCTGGACATCGGAGCGTTGCGGCGGGACGCCCCACCTGACGAACTGCACCAGGCGGCGCAGAGACACCTAGCGTCCCTCCCCCAGCAAGCCATCTGGGTTTGGACGGATGGGTCGGCGGATGCGGGAGTTCGCAGCGGAGGAGCAGGAGCCTTTGTGGAGTGGCCGGACGGTGCGACCGACGAGCTACGCGTCCCGGCCGGTCAACTCTGCTCGAGCTTTAGGGCGGAGATGGTCACACTCCGCGCGGCCCTGAACCACCTGCGCGACCACCCGCACCAGCCGAGCGCGCCGATCACCATCTGCTCGGATTCGCATTCTGCCCTTGCGACGCTGAGAGAGGGCCCGGCGTCCCAGAGGCCAGAAGACCCTGCTAGGAGCCGCCGTCTGGACCGAACTAGCGGCCCTGGCCGGTCCGTCCCGCCGGATCCACCTACAGTGGGTGCCGTCCCATTGCGGCGTCGACGAAAACGAGCGCGCCGACCAGATCGCCAAGGAGGCGACCGCGCTCCCCCAGGCGGCGGTCCCGGTGGACGTCGCTACCGCCCACCGCGCGGCCGCCAGACTGGCCCGCGACCGCACCATCGCCGCCTGGCCGGAGGGCTGGTACCGGACCCTGATGGAGAACCGGCTGCCGCCGCCGGCCGCGACGGGGGACAGATCGTCGGCCGTCGACGTCCACCAGCTCCGCGCGGGCCACTGGTCAGGATCCCGCCAATACCTTCACCGGATTGGACGGAACCCTTCCGATGATTGCCGCCAGTGCCCTGACACCGACTGTGCGGCGGGCTGGTGCACCGTGTGCCGGGAGGAGGCCACACGCCCCGGCACTTCTTCTTCCGGTGCCCGGCCCTCATGGGCTGGCGTCTCCGGATGTACGGAACGATTTTCCTGAACCCGGAAGACGTCCGCGACGACGGAGAGGTGGCGGCCCTGGCGGCCGCCGTGAGGGACCTCCAGAGCCGCACGGCTACACCGCGGTGACGCGGCTGGAGGGAACACACAACAACAACAACAACAGCTCAGATGGCCTTCGGTTACATTTTTCGTTGCGTCTGTGATGATCTCTGAGTCATGTCGCATCGTCCGTTTTGTTATGCCCGGTAGTTCAGCGGTGAGTCGCTGGCAATCTGGCTCACTGATTCAACCCCTCAGACGCCGGCGGGCTGTGTGGCGAATCACCTTTTACAAATGTCGGGTATTGATAGCGTCATTCAGCGTATGTCGGTAGGCGCTAATATAGAGATTTTTGGTAATAACCTGTTTGTTTTCAGGGCGCTGGAATCAGATGATATAGCTCCCATATAGGAGATAGTGAGGTTGTTGATGGTAGGTATCTGAAGAGTGTTGTTACCCAACTCAGAATAATTGTAATGTGCCATCGATTGTACCTTTTACCGCAACCCTGTCGATACCTATATTAGAAGGCTTGCCTGATTTACTAATGGTCTTCCATTTAGAGAAAAATATCTATCAGTAATCAAAATCGTTAGGTATGCTGGTTCTGTTGCTCACCCCTTATCTACAGGCTACAGCATCGGCGCGGCACACGTCTTGGTGATTCGTGCTCTGTTCCTCCTGTTTCGTTTTTTAGCCGTCAACCTTGAAATTTACCACTTTCCTAACAACTCAACAGGAAAAAATGGAACGCGATATTTGGGAAAAATGTGTGTTTCCGAAAAGTTTTATTTCTTCTTAAGCAGTTTGAACAAAAATAGAAGTCATTTCTCATTTGAAACTACCCCAATTATCACGATATGATAGTGCCCGTTATTGGCAATGTAGGTGGCAGCACCGTCGACTGCGACTTTTCCGCTGTAACTTCGACCTGCCCGAGCCTCGTCAAATCGCATTTTTACGCAAAACCAACTGCAGGGCTAGTGTTTTGGCATGCTGGCGCCAATTTATATCTTTGTCTAACGCGAATCTGCGACTATCGACACACCCTAATGTTCATGTCTAACATGGGAAATGGAGTTGAGATAGCAGTTTTGTTCGTTATGTGCTAAAACCACGTAATCCGGAGCCATTCGTCTCAAAAATATAATTTGACAACACCAGAGAGGAATTTAGGTGGTCTTTACCAGAACGCCAAGCCCCAAGGTCTTTACCAGATATGACCAGATGTATATGACGTTGCCACGAAAAGACTAGATTTAAAGTTAAGGTGAACCGATTCGCCTAATAAATTCGCCATATGCTATTCAATTGTATAATTACTTTATCTTGTATCTTATGAGCTATTTAATATAGAACAATGTCACTTTACAGGGTAGGTAGATAGCTAAGCGCAATACACATTCGAAATGCATACGCAATTATCGAAACTTGCGCGCCCTAACTGTCTGTAGCACATGGTTCACCATAACCTGTAGCGACTTGTAGTTCGCTACATTCACACCATCTGGCTTTGTGTTGTATATGACGTCTTTACTCTTTACCGTAAATTACGTTATTCTTATGACTATAGTTTTTCGTTGTTTTCATCAAAATTCGGCCAATTGATGGCATGCAACCACCTGTTCAGGTATTATCATCTATTTTAAAGTATTTTGGAATCATCCACTGAACTTTTTCAAGGAGAACATATTCCTTTAACCCAAGCATGACTAGGGGGGGGGGGGGGGGCTCCACAGAGTCCCACTCCTTTTCCTGCAATATCTTCTAAACCGCTGGACGTAGCAACACGAAACTTGCAGTACCTTCGGCTACATCAATTTGACACCTCGTGTCTAAAGGAAAATTTAATGCCACAATAGATCGGCTAGAAATGACGTCAGGGTTACGTCATGTCGGCCGATTCTGATGCAAAACATTGAACTACGGCAATCGTTTTCAAGAGCTCAGTTTTTAAGATAGATCCAATTTCTGTGCATGAGAGGACTCAAAATACTCAGGGCTGTGAAACTGCTATCTCGGATTTACAAAATGAGGAAAATTTTGAAACTTTTACGTACAAAATCTAAAAAAAAATATATATATTCGTGATTTCTTTCCCTAAAATTTAACTTTTCCAAAAAAGGAGTATATCGACGCGTTTTATTATTTTTTTCAAACCAAACGTCTGTTCTCCTGTGAATTTCCGACAAGTTGGATAGAAACTTTCAAGAAAGGTACAGTCACTCGATTTTTCTCAAGTTTGTATGTCTTGGCAGATCAACCAATGCCATAACAAGCTCGCGAACACACGTATTTGATCAGGATCGGATGATTGGACATTTTTAAAAAGGGATCTTTCGTGCTTCCCGGAAATTCGCGGGAGAACAGATGTGGGGTTTGGAAAAAACGCGTTGATATATGATAGAACACATACAAATGATCTACTCTAGGAAGTTTTAGTCTGATATCTTCAAAATAGCCTAGTTATACGCGATACTTTTTACTTTGACCTGAGCTATGACGTCATCAGTGACCTGGAAGTCAATGAATTTAAGTTTCACTGGAAAGTTTTTCCAGCACTATCAGACACCTTTAAATTTAGACGATCGGTCCAGTAGTTTCGGAGATAGGAGGGTGGCTCTGTAGAGCCCCCCCCCCCCCCCCCCCGGCAGTCAGCCGCGTTATGGAAAATACCCCAGTCATGCGCGGGTTAACTCAGTTGGTGGCGAGGCACATTGTTTCCTCTCTTGCCCAATCTACCTTAGAAGAAAACAGCAAGAATAATTTAACATTTTAACGTCACGACCAAAATGACCAATTCCCAATATCTTGCGTCGGCAATGAATCTTGCGAGCTTTGCCATCTTGATTTAGGACTTAAGCCAGTTTTACCCTCCACCTATCACTGAACCATCATCACCAGCGCAAGGGGCGGCAACCACTCCCTCAGGTGCGTACTAGAACGGGGAAATCGCATTTGCGTCGTGGGTTAGGCAAAAAAAAAAAAAAAAAAACGGGTGGTCGATTTTATGTTGGTAAAACTGACCTCTTATATACCAATAAGACGTCTTAGAGGGCGACTAACGAGCGGGCGCGAAAGTGAGCGCACTTACGCACTTTCAAAAGTGCGAAATCGTATCCCTAGCCGACTTGTTCGGGCCACCCTACTGAACGGTCACTAATGACAAACCAAATTTTAGCGCAATAGGCTCGGTCCTTCGCGAAATAGGTCGTCATCCTGCACGTGCGCACGTATACAATTAGACAAACATAATAGGCTAATTGTATTATGAGGCAAACACGAAACTTGCGATACACTTTCAATCTCAATACTTACTTTGTTTTATGTCCTGAGAGTCCGGCACGCGCCCCAACAGCATAGTTGTTTTTGCAATGGAGGCGAAATGAGCACTGAAAAATACAATTGCTGGCTTCAGGGACGTGACTTATGCAATATGCAGTATGCACCAAACCATATCTTAAAAGATAATTTACAGGAAAAAATGAACAAAAACATTTGCATGTTCATAACTTCGGTCATGGATACATGCTTACTTTAGTTAACATAAAATAGTTGATTAATTGGGGTATATTATGCAACGAAATAACAAATTTAGCCTTACCAGACGGCAGACATACCCCTCAGTCCTCACCTGTCACGGTCCACCTCAGTGAACCCGATGAAGTCCTCCGACGGTGACGGCGACCGAGACCTGACCTTCTCCTCCTCCGGCGGCGACGGCGACGGCGACCTGACCTTCTCCTCCTTCACTAGAGACCGCACAGCTCGGTCCGACAACGGATCGTCGTCCGACATCGACGGAGACGACGGCCGCTCAGCCTAGAACGAGCAGATATCTTTTTCAGTCACAAGAAGCGTGCCTTCCACTAAAAGAGGCGAGCTGGCCGTTCTCTGAATGTAAACACATTCAAGGCGTTCCCAACGCTTTCCCAGGCATGTGTCAAAAGTCATTGCTAAAATACTGTGGTCTGATCATGCCTTCACATTACCTTTAACCCGCGCCGGGTCGGGGGGGTTTCGCAGGTATCTCCAAAACGGCCGCCGCCGTTTTTGGCACACCTGTTTGTGCATCTTTTCCGCACATGTTGTGAAAATTTCAGACCAAGGTCGCTCAAAGTCAGGTCACCAAAATTAGAAGAAAAAAAAATAGAATGTTCGTCATAGCTACACCGACTGAACGATTGCCTTGAAACTTTCAGCGATCGATAAGAGTAACAGTATCTATAAAACGTACATCTCAGAATTTTGATATCGGTGACCTAAGGCCAGGTCAATTTTGCGGCCTCTCCATTATAAGTCAAAGGGAGAAAATTAAAAAACGTCTCTTTTACACGAACGCCATTCTAGACACTCTCAAACATCGGAATAAAGGTAAAATTGACCCACTGAACCGGAAAATGGCACCTGTGACCATTTGTTATGTCCCCGAGGCCATCTCAGGTCACGAATAGTATCTATAAATGAATAGCAATGAATAGTAATGAAAAGTAAATAAATAGTATGAATAGTATGAATAGCATGAATAGTATCTAAAAATGAATAGTATCTACATATAAAAATAGCAGTTTTTAGCACAGTTTATTTATTTTTCATAGCAGTTTTTCGCTAATAACTTCTGATAGAGGCATGCTAGAGCGATGAAAACGCCTTATGTGTTCGGCTCGACAATGCGGACCGACTGATATGCAACATGTCCTTTTCCGGTCAGGTCATGGCCTTGACCTGAGGTCAAATTTTCAAGTTGACCTTTCAAAAATTATAGTTCATTCGAAGCGTCTCGATGAGAGGAACACGATGCTGGCAAAAGTAATGTCGTGGCTCTTTTGAGTTAAAAGTTATTGCCGAAAAAAAAACACTTCATCGTAAAAACGGCTATATTTGGAGTTGTTGCCCTCTGGAGGCTAAATCGTTGACCTGAGAACAAATCTGAGGACATGCTGGCGAAAGAGCGCTAAAAGAGCTATCGAATGCGCTTTTCCGCGGCGCTGTAGCTCTAGTGGTTCAAGAGTTAGCCGTTGGCAGTTTCCAAAATGTTGAAAGAGCCAACATTTTACCTTTGGTGACCTCTGGTGACCTGACCTTTGACCTGACTCAAAAATGACCGCAGTGTTTTCTTCCTTATTTTGGACGTTCTTTCGATTGCCGCTTACCACGTGTCGCTACGTGGCCCAGGAGCCGAGTTAGAAGGGGGGGGGGGGTGTTCAGACACCCCCGGCCCGGCACGGAAGTCTCGGAGCACCGGCCCGGCGCGGGTTAACCCGCGCACCGACGGGGGTTTGCGCCAACTTAGTACCGACGGGGGGGGGGGGCGGATGACCGCCTCCCCCTTGAATTTCGAGAACGAAGCAAGATAGGGACAAGCGGTAAACGGCATCGGATACGCACGGACAAGGTCTACAATTTTACTAAGGTCATTTTCAGGTCAGGTCAAAGATGACGTCACAGGGGTCAAAAAAGTCAAAATGGCGGAGCTAGACATGGAGTTTTTCTCGAATAACTTTCGAATTAGTCAAGATAGGAACAAACTAAGGGCATCATCGTGATCCTCTCGTGACCTCGTCAATCAGCATCGAATGATATATAAGTTGACCTCGAAAGGTCAAGGTCAAAGGTTGACCTCAGGTCATCATGTATATCATTCGATGCGTCTTGACGAGCTGAACACAATGAGACCATCCGCGCGGCTGTATCTTGTTCCTGTACGGAGTTATTGGCAAAAAAAAACTTTGGTGACCTTTGATGACGTCACATGACCTTACAGCTGCCCAACAGCAAAACAGACCTCAAGGTAGTGAAGGCTGATCGTATATGAAGTAATGTATGGTATATGGGGCCATTCCGACCCGTTTTAGTGGTAAAAACAGGGAGTTGATTTTCCCCATTGACTTATAATGGGGAGGTCGAGAAATTGACCTGACTTTAGGTCACCGATATCTTAATTCCGAGATAAACAAATTGTAGCTACTAATGACCTTATAACATCCTGCGACTTTCAAAGGCCTCCGACATCTACTGTAGCTCTGGCACGGTGACAAAGTTGCAAAAATAAGTGACTTGAGGTTGGGTCATTCAAAGTGACCTGGTGACCTGACCTTAAAAGTTAGGAGGTTCAAACTTGCACACCATGTGTAAAATTGATGAGAGAATAGTCGTACCAAAGTTCGTAGCGCCGCCGGTTTTCCTGCTATTCGCGAAAAACCTCAGGGGGGGGGGGCGGATATCCGCTCCCCCCCCCGTCGGTGCGCGTGTTAACCCGCGCCCGGCTGGGGGTCCTGGATTTCCACGCCCTGCTGGGGGGGAGGGGGGGGTGTTTGAACACACACCCCTTCTAACTCGGCCCCTGGACCACGTAGCGATACGCGGAAGGCGGCGTTCGAAAGAGCGTCAAAATAATGAGGAAATCACTTCGGTCAATTTTTTGGTCAGGCCAAAGGTCAGGTCACCAGAGGTCATTGAAGGCAAAATTTCGCCGAAATCCAGGTCAAATGTCGACAATTTCCAAGAAGCCAACGCATAACTCGGGAACCAATAGAGCTACAGCGCCGCGGAAAAGCGCATTCGATAGCCCTATTAACGCCCTTTTTGAGTAATTCTCTCAGATTTGACCTAACATCAACGGTTTTGCCTGCAGGGGGCAAAAACTGCAAAAATAGCCGATTTTTCGGAAACAGTTTTTCTGCAATAACTTCTGACCCAAGCCTTGTACGAGCTTACTTTTACCGGCATCGTGTTCCTCTCGTCAAGACGCATCGAATGAACTATAACTTGACCTTGAAAGGTCAACTTGAAAATTCGACCTCAGGTCAAGGTCATGACCTGACCGGAAAGGGTCATGTTGCATATCAGTCGATCCGTATCGTCGAGCTGAACACATCTAAAGCGTTTTGATCGCTCTAGCATGTCTCTATCAAAAGTTATTTGCGAAAAACTGTTAGATCCATTCGTGACCTAAGATGACCTCAGGGGCATAAACAGGGGTCACAGACACCATTTTCATGTTCAGTGTGTCTAAACCGGATTTTATGCGCAGGGATGCAGAGCCGTGGAAATTTCAGACAGCTCCGGCTTCGGAGAAAAAAAATCGGCTCCGGCTCCGGCGGCTCCGGCTCCGCACCCCTGATTATTACCTCTGTCCTCTCACACCAAAAGCATCATAAGACATGCAAAAAAAAGGTACCCTGAGATAATGAACGTAAGCAGGCAATAGGAAGTAGACAGGCAGACACCATACACAGGGTGTTAAAGTGTGCCTCCGTACTAGGTCAAATTGTTTAGGTATATCTCCAACATCGTATGTCCTACGATAATGAGAGACCGCTTGTTGGAAAGAATGGTCAATTTCGATTCTAACAGGCTACCCTAGTGTGGCTCTGAATGAATACGTATTGTTATGGTCGTTACACCGAGAACGACCATAACAAAATGTGTTGCGAGGCCGTGAAACACGGCGACGGCGGTGCGAAGAATGAATAAACGCACATGAACTGAAATAACCGTCAGATGTGAAGAAATTTCCACCATATCCGATACCTTGCCGATGGCCGATACCGCTACATGTTTCACCCAAGTTTCAACAAAAATTTGGTATTGAATTGTGCAATATTGTGCTTTCCACAAGGCTGGGCGTGTTGTGCATGATATATAACGGAATTACGGCCTAGCTGAATACAATTTGATTGCATTTTCTAATTAGCGGTGTTCCAAAGCTGTAGGATGCACAGTTGCAAAGATACAGTCGATCTTAGTTGGGGGGGGGGGGGGGAGAGGGAGGCTGTATTTTCGGAACACCCTGTATATAGGTGCTCACTTACCCTTGGCGAGGGAGGCTCCACCTTAATCTCTTTCTTCATTATCAGCAGAGAATTGCTCTCCGACATGCTGTCCCTGACAGCGTAGTTGCTCTGCATTGGCCTCCAGCACCTCGAGGCCTCGAGCACTGTTACAGAACACAGAGTCAATTCCATGTTTTCAGATCCTCCCAAAGACTGCTTCAACTGCATAAGTGGCTTGCCTAGGTGGTACTTGACCACTGACCAGCCCGCATCAGTGACTATGGTTCTCACTTCACAGTCTGTTGAGATATGATATACAAGGTTGAAGGTCATCACTCAACAATTACTTCATACAAATGAACTGCACATCTAACACTACACTTTTTGTCAGTTAACCCGCGACCGCCTGGGGGGGGGTCGGATCCGACCCCCCCCCCTCCGTTTTTCTTGAATAACTCATGAACCACTTTCGCTATCTACTTGAAACTTGGCATACCTTCTCCCCCATCAATTTGACGTCTCCTGTGCAATTTGTAAGAAAAAATTTCCAAAAATTTTTGAGATATATCGATTTTAGTGATGTAACTACATGGCGTTTTTAGTCAAAAAGTGGTAAATGTTTAAAAAATCGCCAAAAATCAGGGTTTGAAGCAAATTGCAAATTCAGGACATCAAAAGACGCAGCTCAGCGAGTTCTTTAAAATGGCTATCTCGGATTTTCCATAAAATGCGTTTTTCACCCCTAAAAATTCAAAAAAACTATATTTTTGGAAAACAGCTAATAAAATCCAAAATTTTTGGAATTTCCAAAAAACCGGAATATATGTTGTAGAGCTCTATTAGAACATTCGATGCCCCAAATTTCAACTTTCTATCTTGATTTTTGACCCCCAAATTGTAAAAAATAGCTCCAACATGCATAGGGCATGGTGACGTCATAAGCATTTTCGTGAATTAGAGGCACTTCTGAACATCGCATGTGAAAACAAATGGCACCACTAGATTCCTGGGACAAAGCTCGTCTAGAAGAGTGCATTTTTATGTCAAAAATAAAAAGTTGAAAAATTGACCTTTTTTTCTTAGCCCTCGTTTAGTTATGTATAGTATAAACGATTTTTTATGCTTTCAATGCACACTTATCACCAGCACAGTGACTTGGGGTCACATATAACCATTACCATCGGATTCGACGTGAAAAATAAGTCATAAAACATGTGCCGCACGCCCATGTAGCAGAAAGTGAAAACCGTGACCTTTCGTGACCTGACCTGACCTTGACCTGTACCTAGTATGACCCCTATACGCACATGGTACCTTCACTAGGCCTTTGAGGTCATTTTTGGTGAGTTTCGAGCAGCAGCTATCGATTCCGCTGTCCGTAAGCCGATTCATGCAAAACCCCTGAATTTGACCTTTGACCTGACCTTGACCCGAAAGTTGACCTCAATCTTAAAATCTTAAGAGTGCTTTGGGAAGGTCTCGTAGAGACCTTTCGAACGCCGCCTCGCGGGGCTCGATACGACCATTGGTTCTCGAGATAACAGGGGGGGGGGGGGGGGTCGGATCCGACCCCCCCCCCCCCCCCCCCAGGCTGTCGTGGGTACGGAAATAGCCCAGGCGGTGCCGGGTTTAATTCGGTGCGTAATCGTCAATTTTAGAATTAACGAAATGTGTGTACACACTACACATACCGCAATATTATGTACAAGAATCACATAATATCTCGGCGCAGGTCAGGGAGTCGGCGGTAAAGCATTCAATTTCGGCACAGCGGCAAAACGCTCCATTTTCGACGATAGCGCAAGTAGAATCGGCTGCGCCAGCACAGGTGTAGAGGTTGCGCACGCTATTTAGCAACAGTAACAACAACCAAATTAGGCACAGTTCATTCAATTTCGGCGGGTAACCGGAGGCACCCAGGTGATTCACATTTTCAGGAACGCTTCTTGAGCATCAACTGAATCATCATACAGCTTTGTGGCTTTGAGATATTCTCAGGGGGAGAAAAGCAGGCAATTGTTTGTTTAGCGTCACAGTACCTACCTAAGATCGTTTCGCTGTTTCCCGTTTCGAAATCTGATGTGAATATTGATAAGCTTTACTGAGTTAGTACTATTTGTCCTAAAAAGATAACATCTGTGGGCTGGTTTCTTTTTTATATTTCAGTACCCGCTCCTGTCCGCACATGGCGGACGACGATCGACAAGGCAAACACCAATCGTTGTTGGACTCGAGGCAAACCCCGATTCTCTTTCATTGAAGCACGTCTGTGCTGTTGTCACTGTGTGCTTAGCTTTTGCTCAAAACATGAGCCCATTTTATCAAAAGACCTGTTATTTTACTTCACCTTGAAAGCAACCCATTACCTCGTCAATCACACATAACACAATTATCTCAATCTCAACGATACCAGAATGAGTCTTACCAATCGGTTATCGTTGCACTCCCTGTATCTCCTATTAACCCGCGCCCTGCTGGGGGAGGGGGGGGGGGTGTTTGAACACCCCCCCTTGTGGTTTTTCGCGAATATCTCAAAAACAGCAAAGCGGAGCGCCGCCGTTTTTGGTACACCTTATCATACATCAATTCTACACATGTTGTGAAAATTTCAGACCAAGGTCATTAAAGGTCAGGTCACCAGGTCACTTGAAGTGACCTCACATCATAAAAAGTTTCAATGTCTGCCATTGCTACACCGAGTGACCGATCGCTTTGAAATATTCAGCGATTGATAAGGGTAACAGTATCTATAAAATGTATATACTCAGAATTTTGATATCGGTGACCTACTAAGGTCAGGTCAATTTTGCGACCTCCCCATTACAAGTCAATGGGAGAAAATTGAAATGCGCCTCTTTTGGACGAAAGACATTATTAAACACTCCCAAACACTGAATTACAAGTGGTTTAAACACACTGAACATGAAAATGGTGTCCGTGACCCCTATTTATGCCCCTGAAGTCATCTCAGGTCACAAATGGTGTCTAACAGTTTTTCGCAAATAACTTTTGATAGAGGCATGCTAGAGCGGTGAAAACGCCTTAGATGTGTTCACCTCGACGATACGGATCGACTGATATGCAACATGACCTTTTCCGGTCAGGTCATGACCTTGACCTGAGGTCAAATTTTAAAGTTGACCTTTCAAGGTCAAGTTATAGTTCATTCGATGCGTCTTGACGAGAGGAACACGATGCCGGTAAAAGGAAGCTCGTACAAGGCTTGTGTCAAAAATTATTGGAGAAAAACTGTTTCCGAAAAAAATCGGCTATTTTTGCAGTTTTTGTCCCCTGCAGGCAAAACCGTTGACGTTAGGTCAAATCTGAGAGAATTTTTCAGAAAGGGCGTTAATATGGCTATCGAATGCGCTTTTCCGCGGCGCTTTAGCTCTATTGGTTCCCGAGTTATGCGCTGGCTTCCTGGAAATTGTCGACATTCGACCTGAAAATCGGCGAAATTTTGCCTTCAATGACCTCTGGTGACCTGACCTTTGACCTGACCAAAAAAGTGACCGAAGTGATTTTGTCATTATTTTTGGCGCTCTTTCGAACGCCGCCTTCCGCGTATCGCTACGTGGCCCAGGAGCCGAGTTAGAAGGGGGTGTTCAAACACCCCCCCCCCCAGCAGGGCGTGGAAATCCAGGACCCCCAGCCCGGCGCGGGTTTATCAACTGCCAGCGTGAAACATCAAACATCCCTTGCCTACTGTGTGCAGAAGGACACGAAAATAAATTCAGCATTGCGTATCGTATCACCACGCCTCCTCTCACCCCGCCCCACCCCCATGAACACTACCAGAGGCTTAGCGCCAACATTCTAACCCGTCCCATGGATAAGACTCGTGGTTGCAGCAGGTGTATCTTTCTCCCCCCCCCCTCCCCCATACACACATCAAACAGCATCTGACTGTCCATCCGGCGCTCGGCGCATCCTTTCAACAACCGCGCGACGACACAGGGCGACGGGCGTCTCTGGCGCACGGGCGGGGTCAAAGTTCAGTAGTCGCGTACCCTGTCGGCCTGGTTTTGTTCTCCGCCGCCTTCGTTTTAAGCAGGTGCCTATGCACTTATGTTAGCACTTCCTTGATAGAAATTAATAGGTATATTGTAATGTTTTGTTTAACTCACAGAAAGCACGAACACATGAAACCATGCTCATCGCTGGCGATTGCGAAAGGAAATTTCGGCCATAAGGGAGAGGTTAGAGGGTCGGAGGCAAGCACAAGTCCAGACGATGAAATAGTGGCACCAGTAAACACCTTGAAAAACGTTTGACTTAATAACAGTGCTCCAACAAGCTCATTTTGTAAGCGAGAAATCTCACACCTGCCTCCCAATAACCGCCGAAATTGAATGGTTGCTGCCAGGCGCGTAACCACGAGTCTGAAGTTACTGGGGACCACCTGGAGGGCCGCGAAGACCAAATATGATATTTCAGGATCAGCCTTCGCCCGAGTGGGGGGAGAGAGGTGGACGTTTTTGGCCACACCTGCCAGTTTGTTGTTACGCGTGTAAGGAAAACGGCGGCGTGCACCGTCGTGAAACTTGGTATAGCTTATTATGCCTCAATTTCGCATCGTGTGTGAGAATTTTGACCCCAGGTCATCTAAGGTCGGGTCACTAGTTCAAGTAAAGTAATCATGTCTCTAAAAAACTATGTGACTTTGTCATTCCTACAGTTTACATCCCAGAAGTTTGAAACTCTAGCTTTTGCATGAGGAAATCAGTATAAGCAATACGTATACATATCTCAAAGTTTTCACATCGGTGACCCAATGCTCAGGCCAATTTTGCGACCTCTCCATTATAAAAGTCATTGGGAGAAAATTGAAATGCTCTTCTTTTAGCCCCAAAAACACATTCAAACACCGTGACACAGGTAAACATGACACACTGAACCGGAAAATTCCACCTGTGACACCTTCAATGCCCCTGAGGTCATCTCAGGTCATGAAACGTCTCCAACAGTTTTTATACCCAGTTTTTATATAAACTTAGGTAGAAACATGCTAGAGCGCTAAAAACACCATGAATGTGTTCAGCTCAACAACACCAATCGAATGACATGTAACATGACCTTTTCCGTGACCTTGGCTAGGAGTCAAATTTTCAAGTTGACCCTTTCAGGTCAACTGATAGTTCATTCGACGCGTCTCGACGAGACA